CAATCCTTGACCAACTACACAGTCTATGGGGAGCTTTTAAAAAATGCAAATGTGTTGGCTTCTCCCAAGGCCAATTTTGCTCATATTACAATATGGGAGGTGTGAAGATGGTGGCAGTACTCTGACTAGATATTAGCGTCTTTTTTTTTTTTTTAAGCATTACAGGTGATTTCTAATATAGAGTGAGATTTGATGACTACTGCACTAGTCTGTGAATAACTTGTGACCAGGGACTCTGCGTTTTGTCTTGATGTTCACAGTCTAAAATTGTTCCTTGTTTCAGTTGTTGTACAAAGGTTTGCTGAATGATTGATGGACTAGACATCCCCCATTGTATTTGCCCATCCCTGCTTCCTGAATGGCATGAAGATGGGTCTGTTTCCAGATTTAGTCATGTTGGTCTTCATTTTCTTAGCACAGGTGCAGCAGTGAACAGCAGTGAGAGTCTCCCTCCATCCTCGTCCGTCAACGACATCTCCTCCATGTCCACTGATCAGACCCTGGCATCTGACACTGACAGCAGCCTGGAAGCCTCGGCAGGACCCCTGGGTTGTTGCAGGTGACTAGCCGCCTGCCTGCGAAACCCAGCGTTCTTCAGGAGATGATGTGATGGAACACACACACACACACACACACACACACATGCAGACACTCATGCACACACACACACACACGCAGACACTCACGCACACGCACACGCAGCATCAAGAAAATGGCAAGGGAGAGAATCCAAACCTAAAATTTAAACAAATCTTTCAGCCTGCTTCTTCTCCAAAGTTCTGTATTGCAGCTAAGCTCAAATGTATATTTAACTTCTAGTTGCTCTTGCTTTGGTCTTCTTCCAATGATGCTTACTACAGAAAGCAAATCAAACACAATTAGAGAAGCCTTTTCCATAAAGAGTAATTTTAATGGCTGCAAAACCAACAATCTGTAATTGCCCTATCAAATGGCATGACAAGGTGTGCAGTGGCCCCATCCAGCATGTGTGTGTCTCTATCTTGCATCTACCTGCTCCTTTTGACCTAGTCGGATGGATGTAGATACAGATCCGCATGTGTCTGTATTGATACAGCACTACTTACTTAGCGATGCTACTGTCAGTGTCCTCAGGGCTCTACAAGACATCATGCACTGGGGTGCCACAGGGTCCATTTCATGTGATCTATTACTCTGACATAAACCCATCTGTAATATATTGCCAGTATATAAGCTGTTTAGTTTGTTAATTGATTAAGCTGTATGTCTTATAAGAAAACATGTAAAGGGGGAACCTATGGGGGGAGTGAGTTCTCTCGGACCCTTGAAGATGTAGCTTCCAAATTTGAACCGATTAAATGGCACCTGTATACCAATTTGTAGAAAGAACATATGTGATGCTTATGTACAGTGTGGGGGGAGGGGGTTACAGTTTGCAGTTATAATGGTTTAACCTGTAGAAGGAAGGTGTGAAGTAAAGCTGAGGGTCTTTTCTCGGACAGTGAGTAGTAGGAGAGACGAGAGAGTAGTGTTGCAGTGTGGACTGAGACGGAAAGGAGATTATTGCCCAGATACTAGGAGACACCAACATCCATATTTTAGAGAGTAGATCCCATTTGTCATTTCCAAATTATGTGTCACTACAGGAGGCTACTGGACAGAGTGGCAGGTGACAAGGCAGGGTTAGTGTATATGTACGTGATGGTAAGAATGCCTCCCTGGAACAGAGCAGAATTTCCCCCATAATTTCCTTAATAGTAAATGAGCCTACCCACACTACTTTCAGATTGTGGGTTGTGTTTTCCATGTGTGAGCTGCTTCCCAGGTTTATACCCACCAAGGTTTTATTTTGTGAAAAAAAAAATTGCTTTTGTCTTCTGGAGTGAAAAATAATTAAAATAAAACCCCAAAGCACAGGCTCATCCTCAGGTTAGCATTTGTAAACATCACACAGACATTATTATTCCTCAGGGGTTTCCCTAACTCCTTAATATGGCTGGTGTTTCATGTTTATTTATTTTCATAAATTTGAACAATCCAAGAAGGGCTGATCATCTGAGTTTTGTACTGCAGTAGATGTGACAGCAATAATTCTGCCCATAGGTAACTGCTGCCAAATAGCTTTAGCAATATGAGTTTGTCTTAAAAGCCATGAAACATTAATGCCAGTGTTTAGCAAAATCACCCGAATTTAGCTTAAACAAAAGTGCTTTTCTGAGCACTTAAGGAGGCACTGTGAAACATCTTGGTTATATACAAGGCAATACCAAGGTGACTTCTCAGCAATAATAGGTACCAGGTATAGGCTTCTCTTATTCACTTTGGTGAAGTATCCATCACAGTTACTTGCACTCTGACCATTTTGGTGCTCACCAATGTGGTGATATTTCACCTGAAGAAGACGCAAAATGCATGAAATGTGTGCTTGATGAGTATGGTATAACTGGTCAGTGGACACCCCTCAAAAACAGAGCAGACAAGAGTGCCAGTGTTCTGGAAACTGCCTTAAATACAATAACAGGGAAGCTCTGTCTCTTTCAAGCAATAGAGTCAACAGGGAGTGGCACCCGCCCCACCATCACCACGCGAGCAATGCTGCCACTCATGGGATTGCTTCCCACAGTAGGATGCATTACAAGAGGTAATTTGTGTAAACTGGGGAGAAAAACATTAGATTGTGCAGCTTGTCCCCTGGAATAAAAATGACCCAGTTTCTCTATTTTGTTACCATTCTTTTGGTTAATATTGCAGACAACTTGATTTTTAAAAAATGCCTCCTCATTTATATGAGCTCTCTCACGTTTTCTTTCTGTCACATTCCTGTTTTATTTTTAACTTTTATTTTTTTAACTTCTCCTCTCTGTATCCCTTATTCTTTACTTATCCCCTTTCTCTGTACTTTTCTCTTGATGTGTCTGTGGCCTCTCTCTCCCCAGCTTTCTACCACATGGGATTCAGTGCAGAGAGCAGCAGCTGCTTGAAAGTGAGTCACAAGGGGGATTTTAGTAGCCACAAGATGACATTAGAAGACAGAAGGAAATCTCTAGCCAGCATCTTAGAAGTGCTTGACAGTTACACTATCTGCAGAAGTGGTGATTTTTTTTCACTTAGGTGAAACCAGGCGAGACCTAGACAGTGCCCCACCCTGATATCACTAACCTTCCCTAAACTCAACTGGTCTTATACCTCCTGTTGTATAGCTCTTGGGAGCTGATTACATTTAGCCAGCTCTCCCTTATGGTCAAGAAAAAAAAACGGAACAAATCCCTTGAATTTAAGTGTCATTGACAAGTAGAGGCAAGGGTTTGGCCTCTGGACTTCTTGCAGGATTAATTTTATTAAGTGATCAGACAAGATAGGACCATGGGACAACAAAGCCAATTACCACTTTAAAAGCCCACCAGTCCCTCATGAGCTTAGGTCCACTTTATTACAATATCTCCAGTTCATATGTTATTATCAAATTCACAGAATATATTCTGTTCTTTGAAGGGATTTCTTTTCTTAAAACAAAACAGAACAGAACATTTCCTGTGTAGGCACCTGTTACTTCCAAAGGACATTCTTACTTTTTAGGCAAGCGACTCATCACCTGGATTATATTCCTGAGAAAAGTGAAGGCCCTGCCTGTGGTTGGGGCTGATTTTGGAACATGAAGTTGGCACTCCGAGGAGCCTAACCTTTCACTTCCTATAGGGCAGTTAGCTTTGCAGTGATTCTTAATAAAATGTTTTGTAGTGTTGTATAGGAGGGATGGCTGCATAACCATGTGTAGGAAGAATTAAATAGCTGTGAGAGTTTGGCAACATCACCACCACTTTAGCTGTGTCTTTGCCATTTTTATATGAGTTTTGTGGGTCAGCATATTCATCTTAGAAAAAAGATACATTGGCTTTACAACAAAATTTCTTCTTGTGGAATATAAACTGATAATAATCTTTCATCTTCAAGAATCTGATGACCGAGCTTTGTAGGGCTTTACCCTGGGGTTGGACCAAGGCCTGGCCAGTTCCCACCATTTGGAGTAAGCTGTTTAATTGAGGGCTAAGGAACTGGATCATTTCTCTCAATATGTTATCATTATCAGAAAAATATTATCTAAAGATACTGATAGCAGCTGAGTGGTATATCAGAAAATTGGCCGTGGCAAATGAAATAGTACAGAAGCCCTTTTATGACCCTCCGGGGAAAGTTAAACAATAAGCAAAACTGAATTTTTAAATTTTAAATATTCATTGAAAAATCTAAATTATACAAAATCTATTTTTATTTAATTCTCTTAACATATGACAATCTACACCATAAAAGCAGTATGCTCTACAAAGAATGTTGTCATCCAGCTTTGCTGAAAAATATATCGTCTATAGCTCAGAGAGAGGAGTAAAATTTCTACAGGAATTTTTAACCCCAGACCTGTGGGGTCTGGAGAGGAACCCCACTCCCCACTCATAATCATTCCACCCCACATTCTAATTGTGAGAGTCCAACATTTCCCACAGATATCAAAAGAAGCAAGAAATCTCCTTTCTGTAAAAACAACAAAAATCTTCCAATGTAAATAGTTATATTAGTATTTTCCTTGTGATTGAAATATAAGATTTTGTTATTTCTTTTGGCATTTAGTTCTTTAACTGTCTTGTAATGGTTCACTTTGACCTATTTCTTTGGTCAGTCAAACTGAATGGAAGGCCTCTGTTTGTGTGTGGACTCCTGTATATCTAACTTTTGATTATGTGGGACCAATGGCCAGTATATTCTAAAGAAAACACATCTCCTAATCCCTATCTAGCATTATCTGTTCACCTTGCCATGTCCATCTCTCGATGAGACCTAACTTGCACCTGCCTGTTATTCTGCATGATTGGACTCCAAAGACTATTTGCAATGATGAAAATTGTGCTGTGTCAGTGTTCACAAAATGCACTTACAGCACACACACCTTCACACACGCCCCTACAGTTCCAGATCAGCCCTGGAAGACAAAACCAAGTACGTCTAATTTCTTTGCAGGGCTTGGTGATGAGAACTAATGTCAGTCAACCATTTGGATAAAATGCAATCTCAGTGATGTTTAATAAGAATTTGGATTTATTCAAATCATTTCTATGTTTTTTCTCACATTCTTTCATTTCTATTTTTTTTTCTTTATTTTCAAAATGTCTGTGGAGTAAGAGGATGAACCGGGGGAGAACGTTGGCTTCTTTTGCCTCTTTATAGGTGGATACTGAGTCAAAATATTGTGATTTCTGTTTCTTACAAATTATTAAAACCAGAGGAAATCTGCTTCCCTTACATAAAACCAAATTCACACTCGGACTTTGTTGCCATTTGCCTGTTGACAGTGGTATTGTGCTGCTCATTGTCTTGGGTTTCAAATACGGACAATAGTACTGAAGGTTCTCATATGACTTCATTTTAACGCCTGGTGAAAGAAACTTGTCTGTGGTCTGATTGTTCCAGGGAATAAATAAGGAAGAAGGAATGACCGACATTCTCACTGTGGATCAAGAGTGTATAATATGAATGTGACCATGTAGAATGCTGTGTTTTCATTTCAGACTGGTTTCTTTTAAAAATGACTTCATTTCTGTCTTTGGATGTCAGTAGTATTTCTGCAGCTCAGTAAGTTTCTTTTAAGGCACAAGATCAATGAAGAAAAACCATTATTTTCTGGCAGCATTACTTAAGGAGAACAGG